CAGAGATGAGAAAAATGTGAGGTGACGACAATAGACAGAACATAAAAACTTCATATATGTGCCGACAACACTAACTCTTTGCTGTTCAACAATCAGGCCTGAAATATGGGTATTCCTCTAGCTTAAATCACAGACAGAACAGCTGATTACCAACAGTTTGGAAACTCCAGATTTGCTGACACCAGAGGTGGGGAACTTTTTGGATTCATTTCTAAGTCGAACATGTTGCGTAGATACCCTGCCAAACCCTGTGGCCTTCCAGATGCACTAAAAGTGGTGCAGATGATGCTGCACATGGACAGAACACCTACCTTTAGTTGCCAGAAAGGTTGTTAGCCCAGCAACGCCTCAAATGGTAGCCAAGTGGGAGCCTAGTAGCCAATGACGTCATGGTGTAGTGGGCTTACTTGATTCAGGTTAGCTGCGTGCTCCACCTGGACTAATTTGTGTAGTGGAGAGCCGCTTCCAAATCCTGGTTGCCTTATTTGGTCAGCACACTAGTCTGCAGAAAGAAGGAAGTCAGAGGGAAGACTAACCCAGGCACAAAACTCTCTCCAGACATAGGATGTTTAAGTGGGCCCCTTATTATGTCTTGAGAGATCCCATGCAGACGAAAAGCATGATTCACCAAATCTGTAATGTCTCTAACTAAAAGGGCAATTTTGAGAGAGCAGCAAAATGTACAGACCTTGAAAAACGGTCAAGGATGGTGAGAATGACAGTGTTACCTGCAGTTGAAGAGAGTCCAATGCAAAGTCAAATGCAATGTGGGACCAAGGGCATCCTGGTATTGTTAGTGAATGCAGCAGACTAACTTGAGAGGTGTGAGAGGTTTTCCTTTGAGCACAAGTGGAGAGGGCAGACACATGCTCCAAATCCCTTATTCAGACTTGACCACCAAAAGAAACACTGGAGAAATGTAAATGTTCAATGGTCAATGTGGTGAAAGTAAAAGTATATCTTTATGGAAAATTTCCGAAATTTTGTGATAAACCTGCAGAATAGAGGATAATTCAAGTGGTTCGGAGGATACAGAGATGTTAACTGGTTTTCTGGGAGATGTGGCTGATTTTAGACAGAGCTGATAGTGATTGTTCTGCCTCAAATGAGGGAATTCCTCTAGCTTGAATAGAAAGCCGATCATCTGAAGACTACCACGAGGTGATTGTTTTAACTCTTGGTGTTCGGACATGAGATGCGGGAAATGGAGGAAGGACTTTCCCTTGGAACAGAAGGCGTGGTTACAGGGACACACAGCGAACACACACACACACTGACAGAGGTAGATGAGCGAGAGAGAGTTGAGGAGAGACAGACAGAAGTGGGTGAAAAGCACTAAAGACTGGAAGACCATGACTTTTGTTATTCATGAATTTTAAAATTTACTTTTCTATAAAATATCTGAAAAAATCTCATAAATTTTCTTGCGTTCCTGAAAAATTTACTTATTGA